TGCTCGTTTAGGGGTTTGGTTCGGCAGCGTGGTGGCTCTAGATGGTGCAGGTGTAGTGTCCATTTCAGTTGGTAGAGATAAGGTTGATATTGAAAGTGTATGACTGTAGTATGCAGTCTAGGTCAGTAATAAAACGTATATTGATAGTAACTGACTGTAGTATGTTATCTAGGTCAGTAATGATACAGTAATGATATTGGTAGTGTTTGATTGTAGTATGTAGTCTACGCACTACAATCAAACACAGCCAATACCTGAATTATTACTTACCTTGACTACATACTACAGTCAAACACTACCAATATCTGTATCATTACTGACCTCGACTACATACTACAATCAATCACTATCAATATCTGTATCATTACTAGCCTCTACTATATACTACAGGCAAACACTATCAATATCAGTATTATCACTAACCTCTACTACACACTACAATCAAACACAGTCAATACCTGAATTATTACTGCCCTTGACTACATACTGGTCGCAATCAAATTGTTCCATGCTGCATGAATTGAGTTGAAAAGTGAGCCATGTTTCCATTTTCTTGAGAACTTTAAGGAATTTTTTCAGTTTTCACATAATTCATTTGTTTGTTTCATGTTAATTCCGGACACTAAGAAATATAGAATCTTTTAGAGAAACAACAATGTGTGAAGGCAAGTTTCTGGACGAAAATTTGCAAAAGGTTTGAATGAAAATGAAATGAAAATGGAGTTTTACGTCCTACTTTGCTGCAAAGGTTTGAATGTACAAGTCAGTTTGTTTTAGCCACATGATAGCGGACGGACCCTTTTTTAAATTTATAAGTGACCAAGTTTGACAATTAAACACAGTCACATTTTGTCCAACTTTGTGGATTATGGATAATTGTGTCACAAAATATTGTGAACCCTGGGCGAACGAACAAGGGACGAACATGAAAAAGAAAATGTACAGGGGCGAACGCGTTTAACAGCACTTTTTTAACTTCATGATCTAGGCCTGCGCTTTTATGGGATTTTTATTCTCATATCATCCCAATATCCAGAGGACACAACATTACAATTTTTGTGGAAATTACTCAGTGGCGTAGCCAAGATTTCATTGACGGGAGTGACGGGCACCTTTACCCCCTTTTTGGATTTCCGAGGGCACTACCCTCTAAATACGCCACTGTAGTTACTTGTAAAAACGTAGTAATATTAGGAGACAAATTGCATAAAAAGAAGGAATTTTTTTTCAAAACTTATTCTCAAACAAAATACCCTTACGATCGTTTTAGAAAGATTAGTTCTGAATTGATTTTGAATAGATATACTTGTAATAAACCTGCTTTCCAATTCATCAACAAGGTTAAAAGTAAATTTTGACTAATTTGTAATTAAAATCTTTTGACGAAACAACAAATGAATGTACACCAAATTCTATACATCACGGAACTTTTTAGGTAGGTTTGAATTCAGAAGTATTCAGCCTTGAACTGTGAACTTCTCATTTATTTGTAAACAAACACTACATTTTTTTTCAAAAAGGGAATTTTTGATGAACATAATGAGTATTTGATTGCAAAATCGTTATTTTGAATAAGCAATTTTTTCACGAAAGAAATATCACATCATGACTAATTTTATTTACCACACCGTGGTAAATAGCTGTAAGGGTACTTATAACTATTTACCACTCTTACCACGCCAGTGGTAAATAGCCACTGCCCTTATTAATGTCTCTCTCACATGTTCGGCATCGACAAGTTACAATTTCCTTGTAATTATAATCATTTTTTTTTTTAAATTTTAATGGTTTTTACAGGTTGTTACCATGGTAACACCACGGCTTTTTTTGGTATCAAGTAAATGTAAAATGATATACTAACAAGTAGAATCTTTATTAGCTTCAAA